GCAGAGAGGAGGATATTCAAAAAACAACATATACCCCCATCCCTTGGGCTGGTTAAATCAATTCCAGAGGTAAAAAACAAATCAATACAGGTCGTTTCTTCAAAATGGAGGACTTAAATACCAAGGCAAAATAAATTGAGTTTATAATTTCAGGAACACAACCCCAGTATAATCCTCTACATGACCATTATCATAAGAAGCATCTCAGAGTTCTCCAAACAAACCATCTCATTTATCAAATTCCAAAGAACTATAAAATCTGATTAGATTAATCAAGATACTCATTTTTCTGTTCCTATGCTGATGTGAACATATGAAGTTAACCACATGATTATTTGCAAAAATTTMGTAACCTTTACTTACCCAGCATCCTCCTGGAAGCCTTCTAATTCATCTTTTTGCTCTGCTAGAGTGGATTCTAGATCCAGATAGGTACCATTATGRGACAATTGCAGGGTGCAGTCATCAAGCTGTAGAACAAAATTCAGACCATAGATTAGAACAGTCATTCTCTCTAACATACCTGTAACATTTTCTTCCCATTTTCCAAGTTCCCAGACAACATCTCCCTGAAACAAACTATGTGTTGGAWGCAGATTAGAGAAATGGGTACCATTTGGTAATTTATGCAATCCAAATTCCATGTTTTCTAGACCACGTTTGCTCACAACAATAACAACACAACTAACAAACACAGAGAAATTTATCTGAACACTCAGAAGACTGGGGGTTTTTAGCAAGTGCCTTTAAAATGTAATACAGAAAGAGAAGTTAATTTCAGTGTGTATCCAGGATATAAATGACTGTCCCCTGTTCTTACAGTTCGTTTATAAGTAGAGTTTCTGAGCCTCTGGATGAAGATGGAAGCAAGAAGGAGCTGTTTTGTGAGCAGCTGAATGGCCCCTATGAGGACAGATACAGCTAAGTGATGGTGCAAAATGTGGCAGCCAAGAGTTGGGGTCCTGCAGTGAGAGACCTATAGTAACCAAGTCACAGATTTTTCTGGCATTCTGCTTCTAGAACCAGGCACTAACTGGTCCTACAAAGRTACTGAGGTGACTAAGGACCAGACCTGAAAGCAGAAACCTGCCTGCAATAATGCTGAAGAGGGAGGAAACAATTAATAAACCATATTTATTTATCTCCTGCCTTCCCTCATCTTCAAGTTTTCCCTTAATTGTTCCAGCTGTTGTTAAAAAGAGCCAGATCTGACCAAACTTMGAAAAGAAATTTTCCCAGGGTTTTTTTTCTTTTGAAGCGTGCTCATCACACTAGAAGACCTAGGAACAATCATCCTAAAGCTCTARCTAATTCATCGAGCAGGAATACAAAATAATTACTGGATCAAGAGGGATAACTGARGAAGCTGGAAAGATCATGAGCTCCTCTCTCACCATCACATGACCCAGTGCCAAAAAACAAAGAAGGAGGAAAGAAGTYTTCTCAGGGCAGGGGAACAAGACAACATTTGTCACGGGGCAGGTGAATGTACAGGGTTATCGTGCCTTGCAATACTCACAGCTAGGGAGATAAGTGACCATCTGTTCAGAGAATGCAGCCCAGAAGCATAAAAGTGGACATCTGTGAGTCCACTGATGTCCATCAGCTGAACAGGCTGCTGGGACCTTCATGTGCAGCACTGCACTGGGGGTCCTTCTGTAACTGGTCCCAAGTTCACAAACATCGTAAGCCCCAGATRTGTTGTGTTACTCGACACAAAATCCAGTCTGACAGCCAAACCGAACATTGAAYCATTAAGGTTGGAAAAGACCTCTGTGATCATCAGGTCTTGCTGCGAACCGAGCACCACCATGTAACCCRCTGAAGCAYGTTCCTCCRTGCCACACCCACATGCCTTTTGAATGCTGCAGGGAYGGCAATTCCACTTCCCTGGAGAGCCTGTTCAATGAATGGCCARTCTTTCAGTGAAGAAATTTCTCCTAATGTCMAATCTAAASCTCYRCAGGTGCAACTTGAGGCCATTTCCYCTTGTCATAGAATCACAGAAYGGTTTGGGTTGGAAGGGACCTTAAACATCACCTACTTCCACCCCATTACACCATAGTTTTCCTCCTGCACAATGGGTTCCAGTTCCTCCTGTTTGCTGCCCATGCTGCATGCATGTGTAGATGCTCTTCATTTGGTGATCAATCCCTCTTCCTTTTCAGGGGGAGAAGCTCCAATTCTTGCATGAGCATTCCCAGGTGCTTCTGCAGTTTCTAGCACATCARTACCCCATGCTGCTGCATGGATCTCCATCCCCTATCTCCAATGAGACAGCARACCAAAGGACCTCACTAGCACACTGTCCCTCAAGCAGTGGCATTCTGCCTCCAGGTTTGTCTTCAGTGATTTTACCCCCTTACCCCTTCAAATTTAAAGCTCTCTCAATGCCTGAGACCTGCTAGCTCTTGTGCAAAGACCYTGTACCCCTTTGAGATGCATATACCCCCATATGTCTCCTTCCAGCAGGCCCAGTGTCATAATCAAAGAACCCAAAATTAAGATGTTTCATCCCTCTGGATTTAGCAAAAACAAACTGACAGGTTCTTAGCATGCCTCTGTCTACCAAAAGGCAACCATGCCAATGGTGGTGCAGCCATACATCCCTGCTGCAAAGGCCACTTTGAGAAGAGCTGAATATTTAATACCATATCTCATGCCAATCTTCTGCCACAGGTGGCAGCCAGTGAATCTCTGAAGGAGTAGACACGGGTCTGAAACAGCCAGTGACTCAGGGAAAGGAAATTACCACCCTTTATCACATSTGTGGATTTTTCTTTTGGCTCTTTTTAACACTTAGAAAGAAAATCAAYTAAAATCTATCCTTGATGAATTACCTCTTTTAATTTCCCATCCAAGTTTTGATTCCTACTACCTGTTCAGGAAAAGCATAATAAGCARCCACTCATCTTATCTGGCAGACAATATTTAAACTTAGTCACCCAGTTTCCTGCCCCTGATTCATATACAAGAAAAGAAGACAAATATTGTATTCTGGCTTAGTTGCATTGGAAATAATGTAGAAAAGCTCATTTATAATTAGTAATAGAGTGCAAGTTTTGGATTAGTCCACATCACTATGCTTTACATTGTTTTGCAAACTGAAAGAAAAGTTCAATCACTGGGGAAAAGACTAGAGAGAGGAGGTCAAGTTGTATTTCAAACTTGTTCCAGTTTTTTTGCTTTCATTTTTGGATTTTTACTTGGTGAAGGAGTAAGCCATTAAATGAGGTGACATAAGATTTTGCTGATTCCTGGGATTAAAGAAAGCAAAAAACCTGCAAGCGCAACCCTCTGATATTTAAAATACAACAGTACTGCTACTGTCTCTTTCCAGTTACAAAGGATATTATTAACCTATACTAATTCAAAATAAACTCCTTAGAGAGAAAAGACTAAATACTACTCTGGGAAACTTCTTCCAAGTAGTTCAGGGTACATAATGAAATGCTAATTTATTCAAAGWAATGGCAAAAGGCAAACTACTAATTAGATAAATGTTGTGCTGTCTCTATGGAGATTAGGAGATTTGCCCACAATTTCCATTTATACTGCATAATTAGGGAAAAGAAGTTGTGCTTTACTAATATCTTGTGACTTCAGTGTACAAAAAGCACTATGGGAACAGGAAGYCCTTCATGGACAAAATAATTAAGAATGGTACATTGTACCTATGTTCATCTCATTTTCATAGTCTCAGCTGAACATAGTATTCATTCAGGATTCAAGGCACTGTACACTGCAAGTTGTATTTGTTAACAGGAGTTATGGTAATGGGAGAAATGGCAATATCTTTTATTTCCATTATTTAATGCTGAGTCTTGCCAAACAGTTGGGGTCTTTTTTCTTCTCTTTCATGTGTACGCACAAAGATGAAAGGGATCAAAACAACACTTTTAAAGTTAAGGTAAGTATTAAGGCAATGAACCTTTTAAATCATCCTTATATAGGATCACTTTTCTACTCTGCGTCCAAGCTTCACTGACACATGTATTTTACAGGCAGAATACAAAAAGAGAAGCCACTTCATGAATTATTTTTAATTAGTAAATTGCCTGCATTTTTCAACACAAAGKACAGCTGATGTTCTCTCATTAGTGCTTATTAGTAACAATTCAAGATGTTGGTCCCTCCCCTCTGTTCAGTGTTAATCCCATGTTTATCTGCTACACAGCACTTCTGTCTCTAGAGAGTATCACAGATAGCCCCATCTAGTTCATTCATTATATACTTTTCCCACTGACCATAATTTGCATTAAARTCCATATTAAAGACCATATTAGAAAAATCAAAAGGCAGAATTCATACAGACAGATCTTTCAAAGAACATTTAACTGTTTTACATTACCATGAATGAGACTGCTATTCAGCTTTCTAGAAATTATTTTGTTTTACGTTTTTCTTCATAATTTTCTTTAACCATTCAGTAGTTCTCCCTAGTCCTAAAATTATGATTTGCATTTTACTGTTATTAAACTGCATAATTCATTTATACTACTGCCCAAAGGTGAGATTGTCAAAGAGCTTTTCTAGTTCTAAAAMCTTCTAACCCATCCCTTCAAATCATTTATCATTTTTTGCATCACACTTTACCTATTGCCCAGAAGGTTGATAGAAGTCATTTAAGTGGAACCCATCCTGCAGGCAATTTTTTACACCAATTTTCCATGTTTTCCTATAGTCRCATTAAAAGAGTGCTACAGGTATCATGAAACCATAAACACAAACAAATGGGACAAACACCAACAAATGGGACAAAAGTACATGTAAAACATGTAACATGTAACAGTCAGCAAAACACATGCTTTAATCAGAATCCCCAGCTGTCGATAGTCAGAGCTATCCACTGGGTTTACATGAAGAAAGGAGAATAAGACTGTCTTTATACATGTCTTCCTCATTAAAAATGATGTGCTAATTATCATCTTCAGTCTCATACTCAAATATTAAGACCTGTACTCTGTCATGACAGGATCAGTATCAAGCAGTAGTAGTTGGTAGGTGCTGATTCACTGATTTATAGCTGTCTGTTTGGACAAGATGAAAACCTGGAAAASGCTTCTTAAGCAGCACTGACCTCACTAGCTACTCACTGATTTTCCATAACTGACCAGAAACATAGAAACAGTGAGMGAACCAGATGCTTGCATAAAATAGCCTAAAAAGCAAGTAGAGCCAYGAAATTAAACTAGTTTTTCTGTAAATAAGAGTTCTAGAAGAACAGAGAGATGTTTGAACTGTTCCAGATCACAGCTGGTTTCCATATTGATGGAAACTGATCCATACTGATCCACACCATCCACACACTACAGTACCTATTTTGCAACTAAAACTGGCACAAATGGAAAACCATGAAAGTATCATGCACACAAACCTAAGCACCACCATTCCAACAGTTCCATATATATATGGATGTATTTTTTGCATGCATTTTAGGTATTTTTCCCTGCAGCTTTGAATAAAAATA